CACCGAAGATGCACTTTTCTGGGTTTAACCTCATTATGTTCTTCCTGAGATTGTTGAATGTCTCCTCAAGGTCAGCTAAGTGATCCTCAGCTTTCAAACTCTTCACCATTATATCATCAACATAAACTTCCAGATTTCGGCCTATTTGATCTCGAAATACGATAGTAACCATCTTCTGGTAAGTGGCACCTGTGTTCTTCAAGCCGAAAGGCATCATCACATAGCAATAGATCTCATCGCCAGCATAGAACGAGGTTTTTTCTTCATCCTCGGGAGCCATTGGCACCTGGTGATATCCTGAATATGCGTCCAAGAGACTCAATCTTGCATTTCCCGAAGCTGCCTCAACCAGCTTATCAATGTTTGGCATTGGATAATAGTCCTTTGGACATGTATCGTTGAGGTTAGTGTAATCAATGCACATCCGCCATTTATCGTTTGCCTTTTTCACCAACACCGGATTGGCGACCCATTCACAGTAATCGACCCTTTTGACAAAGCCAGCTTGTAGGAGTTTCTCGACTTCTTCTTTGATAACTTTTAACCTTTCCCCCCCAAAGAGGCGTCGCTTCTGGGCTACTGGTTTCTTGAGTGGATTGGTGCTGAGTTTATGTTGAGAAACTGAAGTGGGAATGCCTGGCATATCTGTTGAAGTCCATGCAAAAACATCTCTATTGGCCCGAAGAAAAGCTATTAGCTCTGCTCTTTCCTCCGAGTTCAACTTAGTCCCAATTTGCGTTTTTCGATTCGGATTTCTATCATCAATCTGTACCACTTCCACATCTTCGACTGAAGCAACCTTGGTTTCATCTTTTGGTCGATTATCTACGATTTCTACACCCATAACTTGCCGATTGTCAGGAATCCGTTTGGAATGGACCTCAGATGTCTGATCTTTGCCCTTCTGAGGTTGCGTGACCGAGGTGATATAACAATGTCGGGCCACCTCCTGGTTGCCTCGTAGCGTTGCTATGCCCATAGGAGTTGGGAATTTCATGCATAGGTGAGATTGGGAAACCACAGCTCGGATTTCAGTCAGTGTTGGTCGGCCAATGATGACGTTGAAAGAGGATGCCATCTTGACTACCAGAAACCTAACTGAAGGGGTCACGTAACTCCGGCCGCTTCCAAATGCAACATTCATGGTGAGGACTCCTTCAACTAGGACTGGGAGGTTGTTGAATCCATAGATGGGACCATCATACCGCTGCAACAAAGCCGGATCCATCCCAAGACTTTCAAAACAATGGAAGTACATGATGTCTGGTGCACTCCCTGTGTCAACAAGGACGCGCTGCACCTCACAATTGTTAATCGTGACAGAAGTGACGAGGGGGTCATTGTGGGGCGTGACAACTGTATTGAGATCAGCAGATGTGAAGGTAATTGGTTGATTCTTCCACTCAGCATCGTCAAACTTTCGCTTCTGAGCTCGGTTCTGATGCTTAACCTCTTTGACATACAACTTTCGCTGTTTAGAGCTTAGTCCACCAACTTCCAGGCCTCCCGTGATCATATGTATGATTCTAGCTAGTGGTGGGAGCGGAGGTGGGGTTTGCTGATAACCCACACCTTGCTGGTTGGGCGGGTGACGGACTCCTTGAGGCTGTGGCCCTTGTTCTCTGACAAACCGTGGCTGTTCAGCTTGCTGAATGTACTCATTTAACAATCCCTTCTAGGCAAGGCTTTCCAGTTCGGACCTTAAGTTGTTGCATTGCTCTGTTGTATGACCGTGATCTTGATGAAAATCACAATATCTAGTATGATCTCGGCTAGCAGGAGTAGTTTTCATCGGACCAGGACGCCTTAGATCCATTTTTTTCTTAATATGCATGAAGATCTGTGACCTTGGCAAGTTAAAAGGAGTCCAAGTAACTGGAGGTTTACCTGCAGGTTACTGTGGAGGTGCAGAGTTCGGCCTTCCGAATCTTGGTACGGAAGTCGGCATCGGACCTCGGTTCTATGGTGTGTTCATCCGCTTCCTGTTCGGATTCTCATCTCTCCAGTCC